AAAAAACTTATTCTTTTTGCTGTTCACTGTGCACACGCCTCTGTCTGTGTGTGTTCATATGTAGCGTCCGCACGGATGTGTTTAGGTAAGGGTTGCCGTCTGTTTTTTTTTTTTGCGTTTTTGTGGTTTGCGCAAACTCCACTGAGGAGTTGCGTTATAGTCGCCGACGTCGTTTATGGGGGGACCGACCCAACGGGACTTCAGGCAACGGCGTCGCGAGAGCCGGCGTGTTTACTGTTGGGTTCGTTGGTCAATCCTCCTCCTCTTCTTTCTACCACGGCATTGGAGCATGCGTGCGAAGGCGCGCCAGTTGGAAGTCTACAGTAGCTAACCAAACTCTCTTTATCCGAGAGGCGATTGGAAGTGGCAGGTGAAAACGCAAGAAAACTAGTAATGACTGCACTCGCGCAGCGTGTGCAGCAGGCGACGGAGTTTATTTGCCGCGCACGTCAAGAGGAGACGCCGGACGGAAACCCACTCGTGGCAGCGCGCAGTTACATTACCGCCATGGAAATCATTGCCGCTGTCGCCGACGAGGTCCCCACCGAAAACATCTCGGAAAGGCGCTTTTTGTTGTATCAAATTAGGCAGAGAATGGAGATGTACTACGAGCGGGCGGAGCTCTTGCTTGGCGTGGCTGAGGATTCGGGCTTGGTGGATAAACCCGCAGCGAAGGGGGGCCTCGCGACGGCCCTGCGTTCGATTCACAGCAATGATCGCTCCGCATCGACCACCCCAACGGCGCCGTTGGCAAGCGACGCGGTGGTGGGTATTCCGCTCACGCCGGAGGACGGCGGCCTCAGCGCGCCACCCACGGATCCACCAGTGCAGTACTATTTCTCGGAGCCACCGCCCCCACCGGCGCCGGCGCCGCCAGCTGCGCCCTTCGAGGACCCCCTGGAGGCGTTACTCAAACAATTGACCTTCGATGATGAAGAGAAGAAGTGACGCGACAGGCACAAGGAGGATGAAAGTTGGGAGGAAATGCCGTGGCAAGCACGGAGGAGAATTTTCCCGCAGGGTTTTTCCCGCTGCACTCGCCGCACTGGAGTTAGGAACGCCTCTCCACCTTCGCCTCCATCTTCTGCCCAACTCCTTTTTTCTTTCTTTTGTTTTCGTCTTGTCACTCGTTTTTTTTTCTTTTTGGCCTTCGTTGAAATTTGGCTTCCCCACACGTATTGCACTTAACTTCTCATTTCTGCCCAACTCCTGTCTTTTTTTTCGCAAGGGTGATTAAATTTTTTCTTGCACGCTTCTCGCAAATGGCGACGATCGGTACGTTCAACGAGGAGGGGGTAAACGTGGACCTGTACATCCCGCGCAAGTGCCACGCGACCAACAACCTCATCACCTCGTACGACCACTCCGCCGTGCAGATTGCCATCGCGAATGTGGACGCCAACGGTGTGATCAACGGCACCACGACGACCTTCTGCATTGCCGGCTACCTCCGCTGCCAGGCCGCGTCTGACCACGCGATCAACCACCTGGCGATTGCGAAGGGCATGATCCGCATCAAGACAGGCAAGAAGCCCCGCGCGAAGAAGGTGAAGGGCCTGAAGGGGATTGGCGCCCGCGGCGCGGCAAAGGGTGCCCCGCAGCAGCGGGCGCCCGTGCCGCCCCTGGCCAGAGGGGTGCTGCCCAGCGTGGCGGCGCGCAGAAGGGCAAC